ACTCAACCGAGTATATTGAAGCGATTTTTATCCCTCAGGTGTGTATCTACCTACAAGAACTTAGAAAGGCAATATAAGCGCACCACAGGAATGATAATATTGCCCCGATACTACGTTATAATATAAAATAATATAATAAGAGCCATAATAAGAAACCTAAGCCTACACTAATTATCCGGAAGTCCCGCAATACATTTATACCAACTATATACAAACAACCCCAATTAGCATGTGAAAGTCAATTCCATCCTTCAAGCTAATATAAACATGAAAAAAATGGACTAAAGATATAATAACCCCCTCGTATCCCCTGAGCTTCCCCCCTTCTACGAGAACGAAAGAGCCTTCTACGAGAACGAAAAAGAAGAATAAGAAGAAGAAAGAGTAAGAGAAACAAAAGTGTGGACCGAACCGAACCACTAACATACGTAACAGAGGGGCTTGGCACGCACCTCCCCCCCCGGTCAAAAAAATGAGTGCTGAAAATCGCGGAAAAGCCGAGCGGGATTCAAATCAAACAAGCAAGCAAGCTTGTGAAACACACACATACCCATATGACTTGACACTCACTCGCTTACTCATATTTACCTCGCAACTCACACCATAAGTAGATAGATAGATAGATACTACTACCTAATACTTACTATATACGTAGTGAAAAGTGGAAAGTGGAGAGAGAGAGAGAGAGAGAGGGTCACCGCGGGCCCCGAGGAAAAGAAAGTTGACTGAACTTTTTTTTTTCCTTATTTGCCGGTATCAGGTCAAATGCCGATGAGTCTTTTTTTTTTTTTTTTTTCTTCTTCTTTTCTTCTTTGTTTTGTTTTGTGTTTGATGATCCTTATCGGTTTTTGGTTCTTCATCCGTTGCCTAGTATGTATTGAACTATGTCATAGAGTCATAAATGTGGGCTCTTTCTCTTTGTTTGATCGGCTTTGTATTCCTCTATAATTTTTTTCTAATTTTTTTTTTCCCTTCTCATTTTCATAAAAAAAAATATTGCGTGTCAGTTCGATCTGCAGTTTCAGGTATCATTTTTCTACCGTAGTACGTACCTAAGTAGTATGTACGCGACCGAGGGGTGTGGATATGGACAGATATCTAGACCCCGTCATGATGATATGTTCATATATATATTCATAATTATTAGTACTTACGTACTTGAGTTATGTCCTTCACTAATGAAATAATGCCTAACTACTACTACTACCACCACTACTATTAGATTGTCAATATCGACCAAATCACGCCTTACAATAACCCTCCAAATTATAACAATGATATTATTATTACAAGCACTACTAATAACCAGGATAGTATATTAGATAACTTAGTAATAAGCACAGCACTTGTAAGTTCATTTCGGATCTAACCGGGCTCATCTATCCATCCATCCCATCCCATCCCACCAGAAGTAAACCAAACCAACACTAGGATAGATACAGTACTAGTTAATTGTCGCCCCAGATAAATTCCGACCTCCGACCAAAAGCAAAAGCAAAAAGGCACACACACACCACCGACGGACCAACGGAGTAGTCAGAAGGAAGGCAAGGAAGGCAAGGAAGATGAATTTCGCCCTCCCCCCTGTCGAACAAAAGCACGAGACTAACCCTTCTGCGCAAATGCACATACGAGATATGATTTGTTGGGAGGTAATGAAGTTGCAGTAGTTTGTAGTTACTAGTTGAGAGGGAGGATCTAAGGCATTGACTTCGTAACTTACTAAAAGTGCGTTAGTTAGTTCGGGTAGTAGTTGCGACCAGTGTTAGTTTTCCTCTGTGTAAAGTTGGGGATAACAAAGGAAGATAATTTATTGGTATCTTGAGGAGCCTGGGTAATTTGGATAAACTATTACCCTATTGCTGGGGTTGAGGGTAGTATTGAATGCTCTACTATATATATTTATTGTACGTGAGTATGTAAACTTAAGTAGTTGTTGTTGTGTGTGCATTGTAGTGGTAGTGGTACACGGATAGTTAAACTACGGTATCATCATAATGCCCATTATACCTAACAACTACCACCTGGCATGTCCTACTAATAGGGGTGATGGTTAGTAATACCTAACTACTAAAAGTAAACCCACCATGAGGAATTGTCACGGGTGGCATGATGCTGCTGCTTCTGCTCCATCGGTTTCAAAATAATATATATAAACTTTGGACTGTCTTGTATTTGACTTTCTACTAATATAGCTTAGTAGTAATTGATTGATGCAGGCTACAGCAAAACATAGCCACCTTAGTTAAGCAGAACTACTACTAACTAACTAACTAACTTTTTTAAAAGGTCCGTGTCCGTTCGTCTAGACAGCAGTTGCAGTCAGTAAGTAATGTGGGTATTTTTATATATCCCGATGCAAGTCCCGAACCGACAGCTAGTACTATTGACTACTTACGTATTGTTTAGTCGCTTGATGTCACTGGTTAGCGATATCTTCGGATGGAAGTGTAGTATAGTAAAGAGAGTTAGTAATTGGTTGGATACTAGGTACTACCGTGTTGATATTGGTTTAGTAAAGGTAACTAACCCACTGGTAACTGTTCAGTTGTGGTTCACATTATCATGTGAAAGTACCTCCCAGCTGTACCAAATCAAATATGTATCTCACCCCTGTACTCAGCATAAAACAAACAAGATTCAATCCTCGGGTCAATTCGGCGATAATAACTAGGGAATCAAGTAGTGTGGCATAGGTGTTCATATGTTTGCTTGTTTGTGATTGAGTTGGGCTGGTCATCCTGGGTTATAGCAGGGGTAGGTATAGATGGTAAGCTGGGTTGGAGATTATGTACTGTTGGTTGATTAGAGCTATACTCTGTAGTGCAGAGTGGCTGGTTTAGTGGTACAGATTGGGTGGTGTATCAAATGCAATGCTGTTATTCTTCTGTTGAAGCATTGGAGTGTAATGATAGATGGTGGGTTGGAAGTGATACCGACCACATCAATGTAGTCGATTCTTTAATCTCAAAACATGTCAGGTGTACAAGCACTACGTCAGAAGCATCTACTGGAAAGCTACTGAAAAAAACTACTAATTCATTATGGGTATTGCGAACCTGTTCATTGGTGCTACCTTTTAAACCGAAAACAATCTCATATCATACCTTCCCAGCGTGAAACCCCGGACCTCTAACTTACGCCTCGTAGAGGGTGTTGAGGAAGTCCTTGGAAGCGCGCTCGGGCTTAGCAGACTCAACGGTCTGCTGGCCGAGCTTCTCCTTGGAGAAAGCAGCAGCGTAAGGGTTGAGACGGAGCATGACCTGCTTGTTGCGGAGAGGGTTCTTCTTCTGGATGTTGGTGCGCTTGGTGCGAGCCTCACCCTTGGGGGCGCGGAGGACGGACTGGATCTCAGAAGAGTTGATGAGACGGGCCAGGTCGGCGTTGGCAACAACGTTCTGGGGAAGGAGGTAGTCCTTCTTGAGGGCGGAGGCGGTGGTGGTGGTGCCGTAGACCTTGTCGAGGGCCTCAAAAGCAGCGGAGGACCAGACGATGAAGCGACCGAGGTGACCACCGGGGGCGAGCTGGAGGAGGTTGAGGGAGAAGACGGAGGAGGTCTCAACACCGGGGATGTTGCGGAAGGCACGGACAAGGTCCTTGCCATCAACCTCGGGGTTGTAGACAACCAGAGGACCGCGGCGCTGGCGGAAGCGGCGGTTCCTCAGCTTACCCTTACCGGCACGCATCTTGCGGGACTTCTGGACCTTGACGAGGTCGGCACCGGCACCGACGGCCTGGAGGAGGGCAACGGCGGCCTTGGTCTTGGTAACAGCGGAGTTCTCGAAGGTCTTGGAGTCAACGACCAGAGGGACCTCAGGAACGTTGGCAACGCGGTGACCGCGAGCGAACAGAAGAGAAGGAACGGAAGAAGCAGCGAGGGCAGAGGCAGTAGCGAAACGTCTAAATAACACCCATTAGTTCCTCTCCTTCTGCCTCATCGGTCGGAATCTCATCATACCTCTGGCCAACGTTGACCTTCTGGTGCCACTTGCGCCAGACCTTGGTAGGGGCGAACATACGACCGGAACGGCACTGGTTACCGAAAGCGGCCTGACCGGCACGGTGAGTACCACCACCGGAGACACGGGGGATACGAGCGACAGCGCGACCTGAAGTTATTCACATCCATCAGTCATCCCGATTCTCCTGCAATTTCTTGGCAATTCCTTCAGATTTGTGCACATACCGGTACCCCAGGACTCAGCAGAGGTCTGTTCACCAGCCTTCTCGCTCACAGCGTAGGGCTGTCTCTTGTTCTTGGCCATACCGGTGTGCACCTGCCTGTAAATCGAAATCCGTCAGCCATCGAATTTCCTCCGCATTCTCATTCGTTCTCCCAGCGAGTCGATTTTTCGTCGTAAAAGGCTGAAACATACTGGACAACATCAAGACGGATGGGGGAGGCGAAAACAGCCGGGAGGGGGTAGGTAGCCCCCGTGGGCTTGCCATCAGCGCCGGCGATGGTGACGGTAGGACGAGACGCCATTTTTGTCGACGGTAGGGTGGTCGTTGTCGTCGTTCGAGGTTGGAGATCGAGCATCTCAAGATGAGCGCGCAAATTTTCGCTTAGTCTCACCCGCCCGTCGTGGGTGCGGCAAAGCCCTAGCCCTGTTGCCGTTTTGGGTGGATGTTGATGCCTGAGGCGGAACTGATCTTATCGATATGGGGAACCGCGGTTATACCTTATGTGCTTGGATCTACCCTTCATACATGCAATTTCTCCTTGTCTTTTTGGAATCAATATAGTCTCGCGGAGAATTTTGAGAGCGATACACAAAACACTACCAACTACATCATAACATTATCTAGTATGACTTAATTGGAATTTCAATTTTCATTGATGTCAAGTCTAGCCATACAAAGTCCTGTCTGTAACAATATCGCCACAAGAGATCAGCTGACGCCCAGAACACTATCTATGCAATTACACTCTACAAGTCTACAATTATGATTAATGAACAAAGAAAAAAAAAATACTACTGTGTAAAGCGGAAAAGAAATCGTTGGCCAACGTTAATTTCATTTGGGATCCTCTCTACTGAAAATGCAAATGGTACAAGAAGGTAAACAGGAAATCTCAAAAGGGTCCGAGCACTACGCCTTGTGCAAGGAAACGAATGTAAGTCTCGATCGGTATGGGCTAGCCACCCGGATCACATTTTCAATCAATCCACGTTTAAGCGTGCACATGTCCACCGTGAGCGTGGCGTCTGGCGCGGCCCTCCCTAACGGTACGGGGCTTCAACTTGATGGCAGAAATGGCCAAGTTGGAGCTTTGTCCAGCAGTGCACTGGGTACCAGCAGCCACATTCTGAGCAGGGGTCCACTGGCCGTTGGCGCAGCGCTGGAAAGAGGAGCCATTGATGCAGTTCCATTGGCCCTCCACACTGCAAGATCCAGAGAGCGCACCGGAGCTGGAGCTGGAGCTTGCGCTGGAGCTGGAGCTGGGTTGAGGGCTGGAGACAGAGTTGGAGCCAGCACCAGAGCTGGAGCCGCTGCTGCCAGAGCTGGGTGCAGGAGTGTTCGCAACCGCAGGAGCAGTGTAGGTGGCGGCTGGGGCAGAAGTAACAACAGCAGCGGCCGAAGAGCTGGCGGAGCCAGAGCCGGAACCAGAGCTGGAGCCAGATCCAGAGTTGGAGCCAGAGCTGCTGTCACCAGCGGCAGCAAAAGTGGGAGTACCGGTACAGGCGGCGGCACCAGCGGAAGCCAGGTTGCTAGGCTCGCCGTTGTATTGGATGTCGTCACCGGGCTGCGGGAATCGGATGTCGACACCTTCGGAGGTGGTGCAGCCGTTGACGTTGGCGACAAACATGGGAGGGAAGGTGGAAGAGCGCTTCTCAACATCGCGCTTTTCCTCAACATCGGACCGCTTAGAAGAAGAAGCGCTCTGGACCTCGAGGGGTGCACAGTTCATGTACATCTCACGGTTTCCAATGCGGTTGAACCAAGTCCAGGCGAGCGTGTACTTGCCGGGGCTAATGCCTTCCGGAATGGTGTAGTTGAACTTGGTAGGATCGGCCATGGAAGCACCACCGGAAAGGTTTCCGTCCACGTTGGCGGGGCAGCCACCCTCGATAGACTTGATGACCATCCATTCGGAGTCCTTGGTCGGCTGCAGATCGGTGGTCAGACTGACTTGGCAGGAGCCACCACCATGGGTGGCGGAACCCTCAAAGGTCAAAGGCATGCTCTCCCCGATCTGGGCGGTATTCCACTCGCTGACCTCGTAGGTGTTGGAGCGCAGCTTGCAAGGAAAATCACTGCCATCGGCTGCCAGAGGCGAGTTGTTGAGAGTATCCTTTCCATAGGGAATGGGCTCAGTCATGATCATGTGTGCTTCGACGGCCGAAATGCCCAAAAGAGCAGCTGCCGTAAGGATCGACTTGGAGAACATGGTGAAGGAGCGTCGTTTTTGTTTTGCACTATTCGACAGCTAAAGGAGTGTTTGAATTTCTGACCGTACCAGACGAGACAGAACAGATGGTTGCGTTGAGCAAAAGTCTAGTGCAGATGGATTAGCTATGAAGGAGAGAAATGAAGGGAAAGGATGAAGTTGTAGGTTTATATTGAGATCATGCATGATTCGTTGGTAAGAGGCATAGGAGCAACAGACGGTGATACCCGTATAGTTGAAGCAGTATATGGCCAAGGATGTGTAGAAGGGCACAAGGTTATGGTAGACAATGAAAATGTACCCGGGAAAGTACCAGGATAAGACGAGATGACAATACCTTTGTAGAACCAAATCAAAGGTGAGCTTGTCCCAAAGTTGACTTTGTCTAGTCGAAACAGGCCTTTGTCACGAGAGTGTGATACCACTGGACAAGGATAGCTTCAATTCTTAGGAAGTAGAAGGGAAGGTCGGAGTTTGCCGCAGGCACACAACGAAGATTTGAATGAAATCAAAAGGAGTGTCGAAAGAAAGCAGGACTAGCCTGGTAATATTAGGACTGTCGAACAGTGTAGAACGAAGAAAGGACTGAACGCTCCAGCGTGGTTGAAGAAGAGAAAGAAGAAAAGGGATCAACACTGGCATCCCCGGGGGGTGTTATATACTTAAGATTTGGACTGTTTGAGAACGCCATGACGGTGAATCAGGGTACCCAGGAGACTGGACGGAATGAGACAGGCTGTTAGTAGGCGCGCACCGAAAGTCAAGATGCGTGTGAGTGGGGAGGGGGGAGAAGATTGACAGACAGACAGTGAATTGGGTTGGGTTGCATGTCGAGTCGTGGGACACATAGTTTTGGGAGTGCAGATGGACCCTGAGTGGTCCCTAGCAAAAGGGACTCCATAGTCGAAAAGATGAAACAAACCCGCAGCGGAACCTGGGACTTCGGCTAGCGACGCATTACTGTGTTTACTGAGTAGATACAAGAGACTCAGTATTACCCCTGCCAGCCCATCCGTCGCACCATCAGCCCGGCCCGACGCTTCATTGGCTGGGCCCAAGGCGGTTGGCGCCGGCATTTGCCAATCAACGCCTGCAGGTCGCGGATTCGCTCTGATTGATCGGCTTGCAACTAAAAGTAAAAAGTATCATCCGCCAGCCTACGAGTTAGACAACGTTGTCCGACCGGTCATCTTGCCCTTTCCACATCTTCCGATCATTCTTTCTGCTCGGCGAATGAGCCTTCAAAGTTCGCCATTCGGCTTGGTCAACTGTGACCTGCTCACTGACCGAAGCTCCCCTTGCCCTTACATTGCAGCCTTTGCGGAAGATGAAGCCGACGTGGGGCGATGGACACAGCCTCGCAAGCCACTGAGCAAAGATGTGCATTTCTATGACTCTTTCCAAAAGGCAGCAGCGAATTGTGAGTCCAGGCGAAACAAATTTTCCTTTTTTTTCGCCTCTACCAAGATCCCAACATTCCATACGTACGAAGGACACTGAAGAAGTTCGTTCTCCTGTCATCATTCCAGTCCCCATCAACCGGGGGCTGTCATTATCAGGCTCAACGAAACCCCATTGTAAGAGATGGCGTGGGCGAGACCATTCCTGGGACACCTCATTCGACCACAGAAAAACTCAACTAAGCATACATCTCCATCTCCAAGATAATCCTTCAGCCCAATCCCAAGCTCCCCCAGGCAATTCCTTCCACCCAGCCATGAGCGCGTGTGCCGACTTGGCGCTTCGGTGGCGAACCAGATGCCCGTCCCTGTCTTACCGGTGAAAATCTTATTGCATCCCGCTGCCCCGTATGAAGCAAAGCATACTACACTACACCAACTCACGCCCTTTTTTTTTCCGGTCCAGAAAAAGAAAACAAAATCCTCCGTATGCAAGTGGCAGGGAATGTTGGCAATCCTCAGCCGCCGACTTACGACCCAACCAAGATACAAGTAAACATCCAACCTCCTGCACCATGGTTCAGATCATGATCCCCGCATGGACGGACCCTGTCGGCGCAAAAGTTTGGTCGGATCGGTGGGGTTCTTTTTACCCTCCCACCGTTTCTTTCTTTCACCAAGTCGGAGGGCGGCTGGCTCCGTGATTTAATTGCTACACGTTGATACCGGTTACTGGATTCTTCGTTGCTGGGATTTCATGGATCAAAGAAGCACGTAAACGCGCTGCGAGTCAACAATTTCTTTGTGCGATAGCCGCCCACTGTATGCGCCATGTGGATTCGAAGCATCATTGGTTACACATGACTACCAATAGTAGCAGATAGTATGCGCGATATATTTAGGTAAGAGTTTGTCCTGAGAAACCTGCATAAACCAATAAAGGAGATGGATTAGTAGCTGCTGTTCTATGACGTCGTCTATCGCCTTCAGTACTTTTTCTTCTCCATTTACTCAACATCTATACCACCTCAAAAGAGACCTATCTACTCAATACACAATCCCAGCTACGCTCATTTACACAATCACAAAAATCACCAAGCATGTGATTCCAATACTTACTACTAATCACCTTCCAAACCCAGCAATAGTCAACCCCACAACAAACTATTAATCACATCACCAGAAACTTGGCAAATTAAACCCATCATCCCATCATCATCAAAACACGAACTGGACCCATCGAAAAGAAAAAGAAAAATTCTTCACAGACTTTAGATCGTAAGTAGTACAAAGTACTACTACTAGCTCCGGACCATTTCGGCAGTTTCGAGAATCATCGAGATTGAAATTGCGGGGGGTGGGTGTATCAATCTGAAACAGAGGAGGCGGCGGGAGATCGCGACTGTCAGCTAAGCGAAGGGGTTGATGATACTACTCCATAGTTTTAATGAACATTTGATGAAGAGAGAAGTTTAATATAATGGTCTGAAAATTGAGTCAGTGAGTTTTCAATTTATCAATTTATAGATGTGATAATATTGTTGCCTACCTAGTTGATAATTGTTTTGTTTTGTTGGTGGTGATGTTTAAAATTGCAGTGGATATGATATGGGTTGATAAAATTATTCATGATGATAATGAATACTACTCTACTATATTTGACTTTTGGGATAGGTGGGACAGTTCTGCGTGTGTAACTACGATCGCAGTAATTTAACGTGCAGTAAAAATCTGTCTAGTATTGTCTGACTACCTATTATGTGATATAATAATAATAATATAGAAGAATGTTGGCGATTACTATATGTATAATCCTATAAGCCTTTCAGTTGCAAAACGTTGTTGACTGGGGCCGGGCTGGTTCGGGCCACAACCATCTGACGGTGGATACACAAGGGGATCATCATCGGTAATGAAAGGTGGATCGAACTCCTGGCTTAGTCTTTGGAACGTTGTCTAGACCCTTCTTCTTCTTCTTCTTCTTCTGCCTTGTGCAGAGTTGTGTTGGGGATGCTGGCTAATGATTGATTGCCTTGGATTCTCGTCTAAGCAGACTCATTGCCACTTTACAGGGCAAGGAGTATTATTGAGGGAATAATTTGCCGCATATTGATGTCTAGGCATATTCTTTGGTAATAGATATCTTGTTAATTTGAGAAATGCTCACAGTTTGGTAGTTAAAGGAGGGAAAATATTAGGAATGCCAAGCTATGAATGTCTAGAGATATGGCATGAGTTTTCCGAGATAAGTCCGTAGACAGGTTCAAATTCCGTTCACACTATACAATGAGTCTCTATGCAATCTATGGGAATCATACTATAACGTACATACAACTTTACTTTTACCCTCGGTCATGCTAGTTACTTCCACCGGTTGGGATAGGGGGATCTAGAATACTCGTTTAGCCAACACGATCTCACTGAATGCCAAAAAGACCATGTGACTTACTCGGGTCTTCAGTGGTTCCATTATGGATTGCGGTCGTATCAACGCCCTGCAAATTATTAACAACATCCTGGTATGAATAAATGAGTGGTTCTCCACTTACCAAGGTAATATACCCAAGGACTCCGTTCCTATAATCCTGACCATCTAGTGGCTCCGTATCCATGATAGCCATGGCCCCCGCTGTTAATCAGACCGCAGCATCAGCATCTCAACAGGAAATTAAACTGAAACCCAGGTTGCATATATGCTTACTCAACGAATCCTCATAATAAACCTTGAGTCGTCCAATTCAGACGACCCCAAAGCATTATGCCTAATCGAAAAGGTGGAAATCTGTTTAAGTATTGGCTTGGATCGCGGCCCAGACGGCATCACGGAAGGCAAACATCCCATCTGAGCGTGGATGGAAGGCCTTGATTTGGCGAGTGGGTAACCACCATCGAATAGCGGTGCTGCTGTAGTTCCCGCTCGCAATGTCGGAATTGGCCTGGACGAGAAGCTGAGCTATCTTACCATTCGGATCCGTAGAGATGGCAATGGACGCGTCGCACATCGCCACAGCATAGGGATCGGGGTCGGTTCCTAGGGTGGTATTGCAGGTCGCAGCGTCGGCGATGGGAATGCTGCCCAGAGACACCATGTGGACCACCTCGGCCGCTTCAACGGCGGCAGTTTCCGCTTCAACCGTGACCTACATCATACATATAAGCAATCATGATAGGTTTATCATGCAAAAAGAAGAAGGAAGGGGTGCGGACCAGCTCGTCGTGCTCATGTGGTTAATCATTCCACCCACTGAGGAAGAAAAACGTCTCTCCCCGGTTAGGACTGGGCTCATAGACACCTTCCTCGCAAAACCGATGTGTGTCAAATAATGGCTGCATATCGACGTAGGTCACGCGAGTGGAGCCATAAGCTGTGTTGGCATCTTCGATGGCGTCCTGTATCACTTGATTCATCTGGTTTACTAGGTCGTCTAATTCTTTCCGTAAAGCTGTTTTCAGGAAAGGAACAACTTCCCTTATTGGAAGGATAGGGTTATAAGCCGTCCACCACCAGTCAAAGGTGGTCAGGTCACAGATGGTGGTGTCGTAGTTGAAAAAGCCGACGTAACCAGTGACATATAGCATGAAATCCTCGTTGAGTGAGGCATTGAGAATACTGAGGTAAGCTTCCTTGAGCTTGTTTCTCACGCCCGCTGAGCTGGTATCACTTAGGATTGACCTCGCCTTGTCCTTTTTCTGCTCACACCAGGCTCGGAACTCCTCTGCATCATGAAATGTCTCCCAAGTTATGCAGTTGCGGATGATATCACTGAATCCCACGTCATTGCCTCCCACTGTTAAAGTGCCGATATTAGGTGACGTGGTGTCTTTCCACTTCTTAACTTGGTTGATTAGTCCAGTCGTAGTGTCTCCCGAGCGCGCATAATTCGAGAAGGGGATGCTGGAGTCATTCAGATAGTTGTAGAGAAGTTTTCCGTAATTGTTGGAGCCCACACGGCAACTATCCCACGAGGTCGATCCCGTACCCATACCAGCGGCGTATGAGTCCCCAAAGTGTAAATAGCCCGTGACGTTCAGAGGCTGCTCATTTTCGTCCCAGATGAGGTAGTCATCGTATACGGGGCAGTTTGTATCTCTTCTCCGGGTGGTTGAAACAGGGCTGGTCGTGTCTCCGCCGTCGTCGCTCGTAGCCGACACCACTGGGATGTCATTGCTGATTTCAATTGCACGTTGGCATTGCGCACTAAAGTAGACCCCCCCCCCCCCCCCCCCCCCCCCCCCCCCCCGGGGCTTTGCCATGACTCAGCATTCCATGCAGCTCTGTCTTTCTTGCATTTACCCTCATTCCCGTTGTCGTCAGGACAGAGAATGTCATGTGGCTTATTGAGGTACCAAGGCGCACATGAACGATCTAGATTACCTTGGACCAGATCCGTGCAGCCTTTGATACCATATGCGTAGTCTTGCGATCTGAGATATGGTAAGGAAACCAGGCGGAAATTACGAAGTGCTCGATTGAACGACTAGTACTAATACTAAAGGCCATAGTAGATATCATAGGGCTTGGCGGGTAGAACGAATGCTACCCACGATAGAGTGAACGGCCTAAGGGCCTTGTTTCTGTAATCACGGTAATCATGTTAGAAATAGTAGCACTTGAGGACAGTCTTCTAACGACAAGACACCGTTCAGTCACTAGTCATCGTCCACTCCACAATATTCGAAGCCGGTATAACCACTTTCGATCGGTTATCATTGTTCTTCGGGTGCGAAATGGGCTCAATCCCCGAGCCAGGTAGTGTGACAATGGTTTGCGCGTGATCCTCGGCCGTACCCCAGTCCCACCAGTCCAGTGTAATTCCTACGAATTGGTATCGGACCTGCTCGCCAGGCCGGAGGTCGTCGGGCAGATCAAAAGACCACGACTTGGACCAGGATTCCCCGGGAAAGAGCGTCACGAAGCGACCTTCTGGATTTTCCGCCACGTTGAGCACTCTGTCAGGGTTATCCCAAAACACATGCGGTGACCGGTCGTCAACGGATCTCTTCCATTCGTTCTCTGTCTCCATATCAGACTGACTAGGACGGAGACGGCGATAGACACGAAAGGCGTCAAATGGATTAAACGCCCAGGTATGGAAAGTGATTGGTTGAGGGCTCTCATTGTCGGATGATGGACCGTGGTATACGACCCGAATGGACAAGTCCAACATCCCGTAAAGAGGCATTGTGGAGCTGCAGCTCAACTCCAGACTCATGACAGGTGCGCCATCCCTGTCTTGATATTAGCTGATAAACTCTTTTCTTGAGTGGAATTGAAGGGCGTACACTCTTTCACTTGGACTGATTGGTGGCGGCGTCGGAGGTGAGGGAATTGGCGGTCTTCTTCCTTCTTGCACAGTAAAGGTGAGATGTGCACCACCCGCAACCAAGATAGGCAGGTGTTTTGTTTTCATTTCTATCTTCTGCTGCGCCGTACCCCAATCCCAGTATGGAATTTCTTGGCCCGTCCAAAGAAGGGTATAGATATGCCCCGGTTCTAAAAGCGTGGTCCAGGTATCGGGTAAGCTTTCTCGTACATTTATAGTACTGCGGTCCCAATTTTTCTTAGCCTCTTCGACATAATATGATTCCGGTTCGTCCGGGAACTGATAAATTCTCGGTAATGATGATAAATGTCTTGAATGTTCCTCAATACTGATCTTCTTGATATTACCCTCTGGATCATGGGATAATAAAATAAATTCATTCTTACTAGGATCTATAAAAGGATCCCAGTAAAACCAGAACTGTTGGCTGTCTATGACCCTGCGCAAAGTAATTGTGAATGAGTAAGTTAGTTTCCCATTCTCTGTCCAGAGTGTTGGGCTGCCATCTAGCTCGAGGACTAATGGTGGAGTGTCGGGCCTATATAAAATTCTTCTTAGTGACTCTATTCTATAATAGTTGTATTGAACATACAGTCTATTGGTTTCTTTCCATCTGATGTACCTGTCCATTTGAAAAGTCTTGAAAATTGTTTGTCGGGGTCGTAGGTGGTAGAAAGTCGGGAATTGTTTGGACTGGAACCTACAGGGTCTAACTCTTAAATTGCACGCACTGTCTCTAACTTAAATAAGTCGACCTAGGCGGTGGGTCACCTGCTAGCTTCCTGACAGCTTACTTTCACTTTTCACTATCCACCAAACGGAGAACTCAAAATCGCGTTGTATCAGGGATCAGTAAGTAGTCATTCGTACTTTAGAGAAATTTCCCCTTCCTCCCTCCACCAATTTCCGACACAAGCCCGCACCGCTCCCCTTCCTTCCCTCAACGGTCTTTATCAATGGTCCACACTTTCCCTTTACTTAAATCGCTCAAACCGTCCCATAGATTCTCAACACTAAAAGCTACGACAGATTGCACCTTTGGAAGGAAAAGTGGAGAGAAAGAACACCAGAAAATAAAAATGACCCATTCCTGCCCTAACTGGCTTCGTGTGTTAGTATCAGGCCATGCGGGTAAAATGTAACCTTACTAAGTTTGCACCCTAAACAGAGTCCTCCTCGGCCTTGAGATTACTGTGTTTTTGCCTCAGCTCTGGCGCATCCGGGACCAGAAGGCAAGTACTGGTCTCTCCCTTATCTATATCTTTCTTAACCTTTTTAGTATTATTGAATGCTTAATCATTGGTTTCTTTACAGCTATTAACTGGACTATCACTGATACTAATAAGCCATGCTTTTTTGTCCATTCTCTGAGAACAGTCAGGGATTGTCTAAATCTGGTACAGCTGGGTGTTGATTGGGTGCTACTCTTTTTTCTGTAAGATTACTTAATCCTCTTTTTCACAAGACCCGTGGATTCCGCGCTCCGCTGAACCGAATCTTAACATGGACACTAACTGAAAATAGTTTAAGTTTTATTCTATACTTATCTTATCTATTCCTTTTTTTATTATTTCTACACCAGACAGATATATATTTTTGTCGCTGTCCTGTACACAGTATTTATTTTTATTTTTTATTATTTTTCTTTTTACAGATACTCTCTTCTTTTTTATCTTCCATGAACCCGGTGAATCTCAACCCAACTTTAATGTGGTGATATTTAATTATTCCTCGGGCCATCCAACTCCGCTTGCTGTTGTTGGATTCGGGTGTAGTAAGGGCCTGAGACTGGGCTTTTCAGGCGGTAGTATTGGCAATGCTAGCTGTATTGTGGCTGTTCTGAGTAGGACTCGCCAGTGGATAAGATAATGTCCTGACGCCGTTCCGGTCCATTGCTAGGTTCGTACTGGTAGGTTGGCCGGCTGGAGGCACGGGGATATTTGTGCTGGTACAGTTGGGGTTGGCTGTTTTGGGGCTGGTGGGGAGAAGGAGAGTAGGTGGTGGTGGTGAGGGAGTGAGCGTAAGCGAGGGAGAAACGGAACCCCTCCTGGCAAGGACGAGGGAGGTTGTTGAGGAGCACGCATAGACCTTCTATTTGACTTGACTTCTTTCTTTCATTTACCCTTCTGGGTAACTCGGTGGGAGTCCACTTGAGCTGCCTGGTCAGTACATAACGGCCAAGCCCGAAAGTATATTGACCTAATGCGCTGTATATTACTCTAATGAAAGCTAAGGTATACAGACAACCAGAAAGACCCTGGCCATCACACCCGGCCCCACAAGCCTCCCCGGTAAACAGCTAATTTAGTCACTCTATGACTACTTGTGGCGAAATGAACTATGCCGATAAGAATGACCATGACCGGAGCTACCAGCATGACCCACAGCGCGCTTGTGTGCGGCCTAAAGCAAATTAAAGAGTGCGAACGTCTGGTTGTTGGTGTTGGAGATGCATGAGGAGGCTGGAATGGCTTCTGCTTGGGTTGTGGTAAAGGCGATGAGGATTGTAAGGAAAGACTGGAGGTGGCGGGAATACATTGTGAAGAGATGAAATGAAAGAACGTTGGCGGCGGCGGAGAGCCCGTAGGGTAAATCAAATGAAAGGAAGAATGAGTATTTGAATAGATCAGAGAACATTGAAAATGGGAAACTTAGTTTACTATTTGAACTGTCCTAGTTTCTGTGCACTAATAGTTGTATGTATGCCTGATATGGTTGCTGCTACTACTTCTGTCATGTGGCCTTTGGGATCAGGCCTGACAGATCGGTTGGTGCTAAGTGGCTAGGATGTTTCATTTTTCCCTTATTCATGCTCGACAATAGCCCATAAATTTAGTCCTTGGGGGGGAAAAATCGCATGTATAATCTGACTCAGCAGCAGCCCCAAAGTCATTCTACGCACCTGCAGTGGTCGGGATAGAGGGATCTGGAAGACTTGTTCAGCCATTATCCAACAACCGCACTCAAGGCAGGACAGAAATGTCAGCAACTTACTCGGGGGTTCGGTGGTGCCATCATGGATTGCAGTAGTATCCACACCCTGCAAGTTTTGCATCATTAGCATCTTGATGAGTCTCGTTAGTTTTCAACCCCACTCACCAAGGTAATATATCCCAAAACCCCGTTCGCATAATCCTGACCATCCAAAGGCTCTGTGTCCATGATAGTCATGGCCCCAGCTATTGATCAGGCCACGGAATTAGCATGTCAACCGAAACCAAAACTGAAATAGACATGCTTACTCAATGATTCCTCGTACCAGACACCGTCTTCCGATATTGGTCTCCGTGGAATCTGGGTGTGATAGGAATACGGCGGCACTGCCATGACTTTGGTAGCTAAATCCTCGTTGAAAAACAATTGTGCCGTATTTACAGTTCGGCCTCCCTGAATGGTGCCGTTACTGGCGATAGTCCAGTTAGTGTGGACTTGCACATGCACATGAATAGCGCGGTTGGTCTGGAAAAATTGTCAGCTTGTTTGCTTCCAACACTAATAAATGGGGAATGCATCCTCACATAAAATCCGGGAAATATAGAAGTAAAGCTGGTTACACCGTTGTCATCGGTCGGCCACATGCCTCGTAGCCAGGTTGTATTGTCCGTTGCTAGGAACTTTGTTCTCCGTCAGATGATAAGAGCCATTGTTTCCTCCCTCAATTTGGGGAAGACTCCATGGGAGCTGGAGGAGGGCGCAAAGGGAGGCATTACCGAAACATCACCTTGACCACCATCTCTGTCGCCGATTGGTTCACCAGTGCTGTCAAAGTACTGGTCCTGGAACGGTATATTTGGATCTAAGCCGGTGAAAGAACTGTATGACCCACTAGCATTGCAGTGCTAATCCTGGGAGTTAGAACAATGACCCCTCTTCCACATCATTCTGCGCTAACGAACAAAATGATGAGCGACAAAGGGATTGAATAACTCACCCAAATATCGACCAAAGCATTGGACAAGGGCTCGCAGGTATGAATGTCCATGAGGCCGATATCCATAACGAAGGGCACCCCGACCTGTTCTTCCACAATATCCTGACGCAGTGTCTGACTCCGTGGGTATACGTAGGGGCCCGTGCTAACCTCCGGAGTTAAGATACAGGTGTCATTCTTCAAGAAATCATATGTTGGTGCATCAGCCGTGATGGTGTACGTGGTGGTGCCGCTGCCATCGTCCTCGGATGGTGACAATGCCCGTCGGCGCATCGCATGCCGATTCCTCTTCATGAGGCCGACCGTGTCGGAGCATCTTTTCGCCAGTGCACCACGGCGCGCCAAGTGAATAGGATCGGGCTGGGCATGTGGTCCTGGGTGTGCTGGTTTAAATTGGGTTAGAATTGAACTTGCATAACTCAGAATAGGGAGTCACGGACCCTGGATGAGAGACGCCAGCAACAGAACCGAGCCTAACAAGAGAGACTTCATGGTGAGATGTACAAGAAACAACACCGTGCTCAGAAGCTACGTAGTGCAACGCTTGGACAGAGTTGCAGCTTAAAGACCCGGGATAACAAGCTTTATATCCGCAGAGCCCGAGAATGGATGTTGCCAACAAGTCCATGGTCCCATGGGGGAAATGATCTTCATATATTAAACCGATCGTAACTATGCTACATTGCCGTAACCATAAGTTAAAAGGCTATGAGTGTTGCAACGGAATTCCCCTCCGTTATCTTCTTTAATTCTTTCCTTCCGTTTAACTTCTGCGTTCTACATTTGTTTCATTCTAATTTCTCCCGGCTGTCAAGGCATTTGCGCTATTTACTCTGAACTTTCTTGGTATCCTTGAGTAGTTACAAATGTCTCAGTGATAAGCATAGCCGCTTTCAATCATCTCCTTGGCACGTTTGGTACATTCCTCGAGGTCCTCCGGGGGCAATCCCAGGGCATCATTGGCCAGGCCATGCTTCTCTCCAAAATTACCGTCCCCATTAGGGTAGAATTGTCGTGTGTATAGCATTTGAACATACCCCAGTTTGTCATTCTTCTTCTGCAGCCGTTCCTGGCCTCGGATATACCGATCGTGGCTTTTCTCGTGTTCAATAGTCCATTCCTCGTCCTTATCGCCGGTAACCTTCTTCAAACTCTCGAACATGTCTTTCTGACTTATCGTAAAGCTAGCAATATACAGTGGTCTGTTCTTCCATGTGCTCACTGTTGGGCTTGTATCCCCTGGACCATCTGGCAGTTCCTTCAGATTCAAAAGGGCGGCAACTGCACGGCCACATTGATCCCAAGTACTGACATTTATCTTCGTGTTCCCATTGTCAATAAGGGTGAGATGCTTCCTTTGCATATCAAACCCGAAACACTCCGCTCCCCGAGCCATACTAAACTCATACCAGAAGCCGCAGACGAGCGCAATCCACGAGCAGACATTCGTAGCCTCGATTTCCTGAAGAGTCTTGCGAATCACATTGCCTCTACCAGTCTCCTTGGCCAGAGCGTCGTTAGTGAAGTCGGACCCATAGGCATTGGGCATCACGTATGGAACGCCGGCTTCGGCTGCTGCTCGAATTAACTTGGACTGAGTATCCGGTGGTGCCATGACAGACATGGTAATTACGAGAAACTGTTGGCCTTGCAGGGCCTTGACAAGGGTAGACTCATCATCGTAGTCAATGTAGGAAGGTATGACCCCTTCCGGTAACTCCTTCTTGCCCTTTAACCGGGTCAACCCGGTAATTGTATGCTTGCCTGTCCTGACAAGCTCTGTAGCGATGTAACGACCGATGGAGCCAGAAGCCTAGGAAGCATCAGGGTCAGTAAATAGAGATGCGATGGCCAAGATCCGTATTCTGACTTACACCAACGATAGCCACTCGTTCAATGCGATTCGTGAAGCCTGGAGGCTGGTCTTTGGCGTACTCTGTAGCCATTGGACTTTGGGGTAGAGTACGATGGGGTGTCTATTGATGAGATACCCAGAAGACCTTGAGACATCAATCAGGAATCTAAGACAGTCAGTCACACTGCAATAGGGTCAAAGCAGCAGTACACAGGGAACTATTCTAGGGGGAACCAGCAGGAAGTACTACGTAGTAGACCTAGAAAACACTAGTCCAGAATGTGGTTACAAAGCAGCACAAGGCGGCGATTAGTCAAGGAGACGTAAGTCACCTGCTGCAATCACATTCACGCCAAGCTTATTCACTACTACGTTCATTCCTCGTCCATTCCTCAGTCATTCTTTCACCATCCATCCCCCCACCCCCTTGCTTCGGTACGCTGCCACTTGCCACAGACTTGAAGGTCTCTACCAGTCTACCTACGGAGTATGCATCAGTGGGTCCAATCAAACTAAGTTCACAACAATGATGATGAGATAATGGAAACAGTGGGGAGGGGGGAACACAAGCCATGGACAGTGAGTAATTCAGAACTTGGCCGCAATCGGTGAATCTTGGCCACATGCTATCGGCGCGTCCCTCTTGCAATATACAAGCCTATAGATAGCTCACTGCTGGCCCGACAAGGAAGTACTGGACCGACCCAACACCAGGCAGAGCACTCATACCGTCACTCATGCATCTCAAGTGGCTGACCCTGGTGTGTCTGCCCTCTTGGCCATCAGCATGGGCTCTGTACAACCAGTCTACAGACTTCCCTGACCAGGATATCGACAATGGTGTTGCATTGCAGCAGATTATCAATGATTCCCTGGAAAACATGAAGCTTGAGTCTCTGGCAACCAATGGCTGCCGCTTTGAGGACGCCCAAATCCGCAAAGAATGGTAAGTTTATCCTACGCAAGCCGCATCTGACCCTTGCTATCGGTCAAGGCCACCATCTCACGTCCAGGGTAGGCGCAGCTTGTCTCTAGCTGCAAGGAAGGAATTCACCGATGCTATCGTCTGCTTGCAGAGTCTTCCTGCAAATATTTCAGCAGAAGAAAAGGAGACCTTCCAGGGAGTACAAACTCGGTATGATGAGTTCGTAGCTACCCATATAAATCTGACGGAACACATCCATGTGACGGTTGGTAAAAGTTTCGTTGAAAAATTAAAAGTCGAAGCAATCGCTGAAACGTTATCTTGTAGGCTGATTTTCTCGCCTGGCATCGGTTCTTTCTTTATGCATTTGAAAATGCGCTACGATTTGAGTGCAACTATACAGGCACTCTTCCCTACTGGGAATGGGGACTTGATGCGGAGAACCCCCAGAGCTCTGTCCTCTTCAATGGTGACCCATACAGTATGGGGACTAATGGGGTAGATATGAACCGAACAAGCATCTACTGGGAATCTAAAAACTTGAGCATTCCAGCCGGGATTGGGGGTGGGTGCGTATATGGGGGTCCTTTCTCCAATTACACAGTGCACATGGGCCCTATTGATGCTCCTGGAGAGCAGCCAGTCCAATACAACTTGGAGTATAATCCGCGCTGCCTATCGCGAGATGTGAACCCCACCATCTCACAAATGTCAATCTCCTTCCGCAACACTACGAAATTGATCCTCTCGTACGATACGATTGATTGGTTCCAAGGCGTCATGCAAGCAGACCAACGCTTCACTGATCCCACAGCTCCTTTCACATACGGGGTTCATGGTGGAGGACATCTCACTGTTGGAAGCGTCTTGGCAGACATTGATACCAGCCCGGCCGAGCCGATGTTCTGGCTTCACCATGCACAGATCGACCGTGTCTGGACAATCTGGCAAGGACTAGATCCGGCGAAGAGAAGAAACGCGATCTGGGGCACTTCAACCCGAGGCGATAACCCGCCTTCTGCAAACATGACGTTAGACGATATGCTTGATTTTGGGTTTATTTCTCAACCGCTGAAGTTTGCCGATCTGATGAACCCTCTGTCTGGACCGTTCTGCTACTACTACGCATAGCCGATAAAGTTTGAATTTTTGGATCTTGGAAATAAGTGACATGTAACCCCGACAGAAGTTAATTCTATCATCTTCCGCTTGAAAAGAAAACCGGGATAAGTCATTGATGTATGAAGCCGATCGGCCTGAAAGTCAACTCTACCGGCGCGTTGTCAACTCTAAACAGACACCCATCGTTTCCGGCAGTTGCGGGAAGGCAAAGTGGATCATCAGAACCCAATTCCCCAAAACATCATGACAAGAAAATCGAATTGAATTGAGGTTACATCGACTGACGGCGCTTCTGATCCAACCCCTTTCTACTGGAAAAGATTTTCTTGGCGATACATAACAATTTGTGTTACTCTTCAGATCCGGGCGCATCCAAGTCTATTCTTAGCGGCAGTACAATATACAACATACAACATAGTGAGTGTAACTCTACAACTACAACCCCACAACCCCTGTCTGTCGCTTAATACAACCAGGGAGAAGGAAAAAATAATAATAATAGTAATAATAATAATAATAATAATTAACCAAAAAGAAGAAAAAGAAAAAGAAAAAGATTCATCATCCATCAGCTCAACGAGAAGTCACAAAGATAGCATCCCGCATAAGTGTTAGTTCATTCCGCGGAGGATGACAGATTCCACATTGAGCATTGAGACATGTACCCTTAGGGACCCTGGGGGATTGCTATGCTATACCCTCCGTTGCTACTGTCTCAATCCTTCCTCCATTCTTGGCCCATCCGTAGAATTTGAGCTCATTGGAGAGAAAAATCTCACTCCTCACTAACTACGTACTACGGTCTGAAATCAATGGCGGTCTGAATCAATAGCTCCCTCAGCACAGTTACCGTACATTGTCCCGCGGGGGAGGGTCCATTGTCTGTTTTCAGCTTCACCGATATGAACTGTCATAATCCGTAATCTCAATAAGGATGTCGAAAACAGTATGCACAATGCTACATACTGTACGTATAGCCTGAAAGTCGAATAATTGATCAAGGTTGTAATAATGCCTTGGCTTTCTTATTATTTATGCTCTAAACCGACGACCTCATCCCCCCTGGATCTTTGACAAGGTAGCCAGTCAGTCCGTCGATATGGCTTCCTCTGTCTTCTTGCCGCTAATTGCGGCCGCCGCATTACTGCCCACGCTCGCTTCTACACAAGATGCCCACACACCGACATCCGCTCCTACCGTGCAAGTCCGCAATGGCACGTACGAGGGTGTCTACAATCCCACGTACGATCAGGACTTGTTCCTCGGCATACCATATGCGCAGCCTCCGGTCGGTGAGCTTCGCTTCCGTCCACCACAACCGCTCAACACCAGCTGGTCCGGTACTCGAAACGCAACAGAATACTACAATGAATGTATTGGGTACGGCAGTGATGACTGGTACTGGACGGACGTGGTGTCGGAAGACTGTCTCGCTCTCAGTGTGATCCGACCTCATGGCATCGACTCAGGCGCGAATCTGCCCGTCGTCTTCTGGATGCATGGTGGAGAGTTTGCAGAAGGAGGCACTCGCGACTCCCGTTATAACCTCTCTTACATCGTTCAACAGTCTCAAGAGATGCAAGCTCCCATCATTGGGGTCACTGTCAACTACCGCCTTTCGGCATGGGGCTTCCTCTACAGCCAGGAAGTCGCTGATGAAGGCTCCGCCAACTTAGGACTCCGTGACCAACGGCACGCACTGTACTGGCTCCAGGAGAATATCGCTTCCTTTGGCGGAGATCCGTCGCGGCTCACTATCTGGGGCCAAAGTGCTGGCGCCAATAGCGTCGGTCTTCATTTAGTGGCATACGACGGCCAGAATGATGGCATCTTCCGTGCTGGAATTGCTGAGAGCGGCTCCGTGCCCTCCCTCGCGGCATACATGAATGCTTCAGAAGCACAACCCTACTATGATGCCGTCGTCAACGCAACTAACTGCACCGCCGCTTTAAACACACTTACCTGTCTCCGTGAAGTTCCCACCAACGTCCTGAGCTCCATCTTCAACAGCTCCCTCGTCGCTGGGGCTGGATATCATCCCGTCATTGACGGCGATTTCCTTAGAGCCTCTGGAATCGTTAACCTCCAGACTGGCCAATTTGCTAAAACCCCGCTTCTTATTGGCACCAACTTCGACGAAGGGACCAAGTACGCCCCTCACGGATACAACACCACCGACCAATTCATCTCCCTCGTCCAAGCTAACGGAACCAATTATACCAGCGCTCTCACCATTGCATCCTTGTACCCAGATGACCCAGCCGTTGGTATCCCGGGGACCCTTCATGGCCGTCCCCCACCGTCATACGGTTACCAGTGGAAGCGTGTAGCTGCTTTCCTCGGGGACCTTCTCATGCACGCGCCTCGCCGTGTGACAACCCAGTCGCTGGCACGCTGGAATGTACCTACCTACGTATATCACTGGAACGTGATGACACTGGGGCCATTAGACGGAGCAGCGCATGGCTATGAAATCCCGTTCACTTTCCATAACATTGATAGTCTGGGTGATGAACGGGGAAATGACAGCGTGATCTGGCCACAGATATCGACTATGATGTCACGGATGTGGGTGAGCTTTATTAATCATTTGGATCCAAATTATAGTAATAGTGAGTGATGCCCCACCTACCTCTAGATACTACTTTGAGAGGTTGAGAGTAAGAAGAGATGCTGACATGCTGTTCTGTAGTGACGAATGTCCACTGGCCTGTCCACACGGCAGAAAACCCGCATAATATGGTTTTTGATGCCAATGTAACTGGGCTGGCTTATGTTGAGCCGGATACTTATAGGGCGGAGGGAATTGCGTATATCACAAGCATTCTGCAGAGTGCCTTCAATCGTTAGGATAGACTAGTGCCGTTAATATCAATAGAAATCACCAATACAGAGAAGCCTATGTTTCCCCCCAAAAAAAGAGCTATTCAATCAAACGGCAATGCAACCTCACACCGGGGGGAGGGCCGGGGAGGTCTCAACTCTCTGTGGAACTAGAATCCAGTAACGATAGATCCAGGAAGGCCAGATCTGTTGACTCATTGTTTGTTAGATCCCGATGTTGCATCCGAAAAAGCTTCGGTTTTGTCGTGGCAACCGTGCTAACAGTTGCTGTAAAGGCGACTCTAGAAACTCCACGGACTGTCACTATCTCGATGACTAGGTATTAAAGCGTTCTTCGAACTCCTTGGCGTTTGGAATTCCGCGGAAGATTGTCTCAACTCCTAATGGTTGTCACGGCAGATGGCTTGGCAATGAGACGAGACCACGGGTGACCGACATGTGTCAAGCAGTAGCTATCGGGGATCCGAGCAAGCATAGGTGTCATGGACTTTGCAGGCAAGTGCTGTCCGTTCTAGACCAACGGCTAGAGCGCGGTGAGCATACTCGGCGAGCTGAAAGGCGTTGCCGATTATCCGCTTTGTTTGTGCCCTTTCCGTTTCCGGGCGTAAGCAATCACATCAGGGCAATGCCGTGTGGGCCTTAGAGATCTCAACTAACCTTATCGCACTTTACCTCACAGTGATACAACCCAAGTGACTTTTGGGGAAACTGAGACTGTTGATCAACATACATTAGCACCACACACAAAGCTGCCAAGGAACAATAGTACTGTGAGAGCCGTGGAGATATTTCCTAACTTTGTCTCCAGATCTTGTACTACGTACCCAACCAGGCAGGGGTCCGTATCAACGGCTCCACAGTAAATGTTCATGAATCTTCATGTCGTCATGACTCATATCTCGAGCGATAGTGCTAGGCATCACTCCACCTAAAGTCGCAATGGCTGTAGAGCTCATCTATCGAGAATACGAGCAATAACCAGCAATTTATAAAGGCTAGGGCCATCCGGCTCAATCCCAACAGATGGCCTCTCACGCCGGCATTGTACTGGTTAGGGCCCAAGTGAATCACAGAATCATTGGTACTTTTCATCGCTCCAAATGGCGTCTGGAATCCTGACATATCTGGAGCAGGCGGCCGAGTATTCGCCGTCTAAAGGCTTCGTTTTCTATAGTGTTGGTAAGGACCAACCGGAGACGATCCTTTATCCCGAATTTTGGCGCCTCGTCAAGGTAACATCCTCCCGCCTCAGAACCATGGAGTCCCAGCAGGGGGTTTCATGTTTGCTTTGCTAACTGCATCATCTTCAGCGTAATGCTCAAACGTTAGTTGAACAAAAGATCGCGGTGCCTGACCGGATTCTCCTGGTCCATTTTGACACTCACAAGGAGAACATCATTTGGTTCTGGTCTGCCATTGCAGCCGGAGCCATCCCAGCTGTGTCTACTCCTCTGGCTGTAGACCCAGTGGCTCGGGAGCGGCATCTAACCCACCTTCAGAGGCTCCTAGAGCGACCCAATGTCCTCACCAGTATCAAGCATACAGATGACCTGAAAATTATCGATGAGTCTCAAAAGTTCTTTATTGAGGATCTGGCCTCGAATGCAGACCAATCCGCAGATTATGAACCTGCGAGTCCTTCGTCAGACCTTGCGCTGCTACTGCTCACCTCCGGCAGTACGGGCAACGCCAAGGCGGTGATGTTGCACCACTCACAAATCTTCGCCGCAATTGATGCCAAATGGAAGGCACTAGCAAGCACTCCAGAAAACATTTTTCTGAACTGGATTGGTAAGAATGACTCTTATAGCTCCCGGGCCATACAGGTGCAGCTAACACAGTGTCGCAGGGTTTGATCATGTTGCCTGTTTCATGGAAATGCACATGCACGCATTATCCAGGGGTTGCCATCAAATTCATCTCCCAGCCGTGACGGTTCTGGAGAACCCTCTTCTTTATCTGGAAAAGATGGCAGAGTATTCTGTCACCAACGCTTTTGCCCCTAACTTCCTTGTGGCCCTGGTAGGAAAGGCCATCGAGGCCCAGCAGGAGCGGGATCCTCGTTCACTTGATCTGGATTTGAGTCATTTGCGCATGGTACTCTCAGGTGGTGAAGCCAATCTCGCATCGACGAGCATCTTATTCAACCGCAAGTTGGTCGAAATGGGAGCCGCCAAGAATGTCCTCCATCCGTCTTTTGGTATGACAGAGGTAAGCTGCGTCGTCTGACGAACTATTTGTGCGCACCAGACCTGTTAATGAGATGGCGTTTTGGTAGACATGCGCAGGTATCCACTATCATTACAGCTTCCCCGAGCTCGAGCAAAAGGCTAAGCTGCAATTCTGCTCTGTGGGGCAAACAACACCTACTCTGCAGATGCGGATCACCGACGAACATGGGGAAACGGTGAGAAGCGGTGAAAATGGAAACCTGGAGTTGCATGGGCCCATGGTATTCAAGGGCTATTACAATGACGACAAAAACACCAAGGCTGCCTTTACCGAGGACGGTTGGTTCAAGACTGGCGACACCGGATACATCGACAACAGGGATAACCTTGTGCTTTCCGGACGATCCAAGGACAGTATCATCATCAAT